CTGTGGGTACAGCTCGTGTACCCACTATAGCACACTTGGTATAATGACACCTTCACAAAGGTGGAGGGAGAGTAGGGCTCCCAGCTGCCTTGGTGGTATCTCCTAGTTTCCTTTTAGCTCTTGTCAGGAGCTGGTGAGAAACAGGAGCAAGAAGAGGGTGATCTGCATTTATGCCAGTGAGGCCCTTCCAGTAGCTCAGTAATCTCAGATGAGTCTCTTGGCCTTTCTGAGAGTCAGTGTACTCCTCCGTGCAATGGGACCACAGCACTGGCGTCAGTGTCAGGATCTGCATGAGGGAGGTGGAAGGCCTGGCACACGGCCTGGGGATGACAGGTACTCAATAAGCAGTATCCACCACGGTGGGGATGAAGACAGAGGGCACAGGCTGGGGGTGGTACTCGCTGCAGGAACCTGAATGAGCAACGTGAGGTCTTCCACACCCTCGTGTCTTTCCCTCCCAACACTGAGCACTGAGGCTAGTGTCGTGCGCGTGCCTGTGGGCTCAGCACCTAGTTCTATGCTGTCTAGTGACTGCATTAGCCAGCAGGTGACCATCAAAATTAAAACCCCGGCTCCTCAGTCCCACTGGCCTCATTTAAAGTGCTCAACAGCTATGTGGGACCAGAGGTTCCATGTTTGGCAACACAGAGCAGTCAGTGAACTGTCTCCGGCAGCCACATGGGACCGCGCTGGTCTGGTGATCTGGAGTGGTAGTGGTGCCTGGCCAGTGGCAGCAGCTAGCAAATGGCAGCTCTCGAGCTGTCCCTGTTGCGGAGTTGCTGGTAGCACCTCGTGCCCTCTTGCTGGCCCAAGGCGCCCTTCTCCTTGCAGGGTGGGTGTGAGGCTGGGCCAGCTGTTCTGGCTGCAGTTCTACCGTGGACTCCCCAAGTGACCGAGTTTTGTGACACCTCTGTTTCTTCACTGGAAAAGTCTTTTCATGTCCCTCCAGCCTTAGAACATTGTCCACCAGAATCAAGTAAATGATCTCAAGTGCTCTGGGGGCTAGAGGCCAGGACAGACATGCGGGACACCATGGGAAAGGGATGCCAGGTTTGGTGTCAGGGAAGCTGGGTTCCATCTCTCGATAGCTGAGGAACCTTAGTATGAGGTTGAGGCCTTGACTGCCTGAACTAATTTACTGTAAAAGGAAGTAACATAGATAGCTGTTCTGAACCTCCATGTCACTGTAAGGATATGAAGAAAGAACGCAAATGAGTAAACACATCCACCGAGCTGCTTCTGCCCCGGTCCTGCTGCCCCTAACGTGTACGATAGCTGTCTCCAGGGTTCCACATTGGGACCCCAGTAAGGAAGTGATGGGTGGTGGGACCATTCCTACCCTCCAGGACTCACCATTCAGCTTGCCTGCTTTTTTGTCTTCTCCCCGACCCACCGAAGCCCACCTCACCTGTGTGTCAGAAGTACCCAGTAGGGTCTCTACAGTGGGGCTTTGGGATCCCCAGTAACATGAATGGTGTCATTGTTATTGAGCACTTACCACATGCCAGAGCATTCTACATTTTACACCAGAGCCTTCCACATGTCACCTTCAATCTCGATGACCCTACGTGTCATGGGGAAGTCAGAAGCAATGCTGCTTTCTGCTGGGAGGTGCCCTACACACATATGCCAGGGGCTGATCACCGAGTTGTGGCGGGCCTGTGGGCATCTCGTATATCTTAAGCATAAGCTCCCATAATGCTGGCAGGTGTCAGCTGAGGCCTGGTAAAGCTGTGAGGCACCCCCGGCCACCAGTGTCACAGCAAAGCAAAGGATATGCGGTCTTTGCTACCGCATACCACGTTCCCAGCTGATGAAGCCAGAGTTCCAGGCCTTGCTGGCTGGCTTTCAGCAGGGTGGAAAGCAGAGAAGGGCAAGGAGAGCAAGCAGGTAAGGAGACCGGCCGGGAGTAGCAGCAGCAGTCCAGGTATGACCAGGCTGTTTAAGGACAGGAATTATGGACGAGCTGCATTTTCTGAGTGATTAGGTATTAAGTAAGGTCTGCTTTAATACAGCATGGTGTTTAAGAGCAAATACTGGAGTCGCATAGTCAGGTTCAAACCCCAGCTGTGCTCTCCTTGGCTATGCAGTGGCATCACCTCTCTGACGTTCATCTCCTCACCTGTCACCCAGGGATGCTAAGAGTGTCAACATGATAGCGTTGATGCTGACTTAATAGAGTGAGAATTACATCAAGGTCTTAGTCCAGTGTCCAATAGGTGGTAAGCACTTAACAGAAATTAGTATGAGACTACTTCTGAAAATATTAATCATCCCCCCTAAAGAAGAAGAAGAAACAAAATCCCCACAGCATTTGAAGTTACCATGAGCACTGGGTCTGTCTAGACCAGCCGGGTGCTTTGATACTCGTTTCTCACGTAATCCTCACACGTCTCACTAGGTGTGAGTTCCCCAGGTACAGGAGTCGTGTGCTGCTGACGCCAGGTCCACCCGACCCTCCACAGCGTCTGGCATGTGGACTCCTGGACTTTCGGTCTCCACAGCCCTGTGCAATCATACACCTGATGTGCCAGGCTGTCTGGGGTGCGTGTGAGAACAAGAAGGATAATGCACCGTCTTTGCCCTTGAAGGGGTCACAGCCAGTGAGGGAGGATCTTAAGTCAGCCTGTGACAATCTAATAATCCCATGCTCCCCAGCCCACCTGCGCTCCTACTTGACATCTCTCTCTCCCCCACATGCACAGGAGCAGACGCAGCCACCCCTTTCATCGGCCGCTGTCCTTGACTCCCAGATGTCTCTGGCCCTGGCCTTCTCCTTTTGCACAGAGGCTTCCCACCTTAAGTGCAATGAAAAGCTGTTCTGTCCTGTGCCAGCCCCACAGGCCACCTCCACAGCCCCTGCCCACTTTATCAGGCCCTCCCGATGGCAGGGCTGTGCAGCCTCCCCTGGAGGAGCTCGTGGGTCCCCGGACTGACCTTGTGCACATGTTTGATCAGCCGTCTCTGGCCTGCCCTGGGGGAACTGGTGCAAGAGGAGTGGCTGGAGTGGTGTTTGATCAGGGCAGCTGGGGAGTGCTGGCCGATAGCTGCTCTTAGTCTTCTGTTAATCTGTTCTCAGAGGACGGGGAAGGGAGCGTGTTCCAATGGACTGGCCCACAGGGAGAGGAGAACAGCTTCACTGACAGGAGTGAGGTGTGGAAGCAGGGCCCTCCCTGAGTGGACAAAGTGGGCAAGCAGAGTGCTGCCTGGGCCCAACTGCTGGTCCCCTCTAGGTGCCCAACATATGGGACCCCACCCCGGGAGAAACCAGGACACGTGTGGTCCCTGTCCTCAAGGCATTCAGAAGAATCCACCCCCAGACTGGAGAGAATGCATGTAATCAGCTCACAGAGGACTGGGGTGTCCTTCCTCTCCCCCCGAAACTGAGTGTGGGGTCAGAGTCCCGCTGAGTCCAAAAGCAGGCAGTAGCCCCCGTGTGCCAGGAGTACAGTGTTGGGACCAAGTCTGCAGAAGGGACACAAATGCTGCAGTGGTCACGGGACAACGCAGTAACAGCGACATGCATGGGAGGAAGGCCAAACGGTCCCGAGGAAAGAAGCTTGGTTTCTGTGCCCATGTCCTAGATGTCCCCTTTCCAGGGAAACCCTGAGTCCTGGGATATTTCTCAACGAGCAGTGCACACTCTCAGTCTAGGACAAGGCCACATGGAGCCATAAGCTACTTTTCCTTTTCACCCCAAACATATTTCTGAGTACAAGCGCTTGGACGGCAAGAAGAAAATGAACACTAAACTAGGTAAGCAAGGAGAGCAGGGCATGGTGGCACACAGCTGTCATCCCAGCTACTTGGGAGGCCGAGGCAGGAGGGTAACAAGCTGGAGACTAGCTTGGGCAACTTAGCAACATCCTGTCTCAAAAAATAAAGGGCTGTGGAGATAGCTCAGAGTAAAGGCCCTGAGTCCATACCCAGTACTGTACACACACACACACACACACACACACAGAGGCCAGTCAGGCAGCACCACACACGCATCCTCCTTTCCCCTTGCTCTCGCTGATGTGTTCGCAGAGGCTGTGACCCCTCCGATGCAGTTCCCAAGGGCACTGAGAGCCCCAGGCCTGGGAGAACCAGTTCCTTTTATCATTGTCAACTCTGGTGTGTGTGGAGGCTTTGGGTTTACTTCAGTGCAGTCCAGGAAGCACAATTTCACCTTGGTCCTGGGCCCTCTGCTCGCTAGTGGTTCTCTGCCCTGACTCGTCCCCCAGGCCCTTTAAAAGTCCTAGACGTTAACAGCCATCATTAAGGAAGCCACTGTATTGTCAGGCACTAAAAAATGTTAATAACTTTTCCCCTCACAATCAGTTAGGAAAGCCTGGTCCGAGGTCATCCACCGAGTAGTAGATGTGGGGCTGGGATGCACTCAGGCCATCCCTTCCCCTGCGGGCTGGCCCCTCCCAGGCGGCCACCAGGTCCAGATGAAGATGGCAGACTCACCAGGGCACCTGCCCCACCCTGGCTGACAGGTGGCATCACTTCTCTCTGCACGGTCCCCCGCCTAGCTGGGATGCAACTGTTACCATTACCCTCCTGGCTGCCTGGCACAGGCTCAGCACCACTGCCCCGAAGATGACGTGGGCAGCCACAGGCTCTCTCCGCAGACACTGCTGCGCCCTTGTGAAGGAGGCTCTGCACCAGGCCAAGGGGAAGGGCACAGAGCCTCCCGGGCCCTCAGCTGAGCTTAGCTCCCGGAGCTGCAGGACTCAGTGGCCTCCTCACCCCACAGGCTGGGCAGCTGCTACCGGCAGTGCGCACCTCTTATCTGAGCTTCTCCCGTCTCCTTGTCGGCTGTCAGCAACGTGACATTTCCGGTTGCTCACTGGGAAAGATCTCTCCTTATTTTATGGTTATCTGCTCAGCGTTGGTGCTTTGGGGGCACCTGAGAGTCAAGAGATACCTGAAAAGCGGCGTGTGTGTTAAGGACCCCTAAGGATTCAGAGGGAAAGAAGAAAACACAGAGTGTCAGAAAATACAGGGAATGGTTGGCTTGTCGGTAAAAACCTTTATTAACAACTAAAATTTTTACGCTAAATCCATTGAACTCCGGCTTTCCATTTGTCCTGTGTTCTACGAAGTGAAACAGTTTGCTGAGAGCCAGGAGGAGGGAACTCAAAGAGCACTGACCAGGCTTGCACGGCGGTGTGCAGGGATCTAGTAGGAGGGCCCCAAAGCCTGGGCTCTCAAACTCGGCCCTCCACTTGCTCCTCTGGAAAGAGGCTGTAGGAAAAGAGATTCCATGACAGGCGACTTTCCCGAGGCCATGCTCACACCAAGGCACACAGCGTCCCCAGGAACACAGGCCCCTCAAGCCTGTGCCCACCCGACCAGCTACCCAGAACCGAATGAAACCCAGGTCTGTAACACCACAGTCTGCCCAAAACGCAGACAGTGTCCTTTCCAAGTACGTATTTTATTACATGTATTAGTGCATGTTAAACATGATAAATAGTTCGTAACCCGACTTATCCAGTATCACACGGTGGCCAGTTGTCCTGACCGTGACAGAAACAGGTGTGACTGGCCTTGCTAAAGGAGAGCATGACATTCCCCCAACTTGGAGGCAATGTAACAGCCCAGGGAATGTCTTCTTCCCCCTCAACAATGCAGGCCCCAAAGTACAGACATCTTCTTTCCAGGTAGCTTCAGCTGTGCTGCTGAGCTGTTGGTCTAAGTCCTGTCAGCCCCAAGGTTTCTATGGCAACAAACAACAAACTTGCCTCTGACCCTCCTTTCAACTCTAAGTCTTTCGTTTACTCCCACTTTCTTCCTATCTCCCAAGTATTTGGGGGTGCACCGGCCAAGCTGTTGAACACTCTTTTTGGGAGGTCTAATTAAATCCTAGTCTTCTCTGTCACTGTCCAGCTTTCTAGTCCTAGTGGAACAGGAGTGCTGCTTGTCCCTAGGTCCACTTGTGCACTCTGGGTGAGACTAGCAGTGCCCTCCTGCCCTTCACCAGTACGGCGATCTCAGGCACATGCAATTTTAAGGCACAGCTCCCACGTCATGAGCCTCCGGGGTGAGAAGGAACTCTTAGGCTCCTGCCCGCACCCTTCCCCGATTCTGAGACTCTGGGCTCAGGAGTAGAGAACAGAGACGCTGTCTCCTCCACCCACCATGTGTACCTCATTTCATCCCTCAGCCCTGACCATGAGCTCTGGCCTGAGGGATGAGGCTGAGGCGCCTCTGCAATCAGCAGCAAGTCAGCGGCTTCCTCAGGGGGACCAGTTTCCCAAACACAGAGCTGTGAGACAGAAGGGGAAAGACCTTGGTTCTTGCCCTGTTGTTGCCCCTCTGGTCCAGGCTCTGCTCATGTGTTGGGGGAGCAAGAGTCTTGTCTGCCTACAAGCCCAGCTCTTCTATCACTGACCTGCGGTCTCACTTACCTATCATGGGCAAATCTTGTTTCCTAACTGATCCCACGGTTTCCATGGTCAGACTGCATGTCTTTCCCACCTATTCAGCTTGATCCTGAGCTTGGGAGCAGAGGAAGCTTGGGGGGTGCCCTGAACAAATCCACATGTTTCAAGAAGCCTGGAGGCTCCTCCAGCCTACGCACGTAGCACTGAATGACACTGTGTGCGTTTCAGGCGGACTGTGGTGTTACAGACCATCAGCGCCATGGTAAAGGCAAGCGGTGCGGACAAAGGAGACCCACTAACAATGTCCCCCATGGCAGCGGTTTAGAGGTCTCTTGAGCAGAAGGGGGAGAGCTTAAAAAGTCTTTCTTCAACAAAATCCACATCTTCTCCAGAGAGCAGCACTGTGAAATCACAGTCAGCCAGTGATGAGGCCCATTCAGCCGGTGCCAGGCCCAGAACAGACCCGTGTGCACCCTGCCCAGAGCCAGGAGAGCTGGGCTGTGCTGCTCGGGGCCTCCTGCCCCGGGTGGCGGGTGAGTGCATCTGGTGGCCCAGCAGCTGATGCAACTTCGCTGCTCTTCACACAGTGAGCAAGGAGTCCAGTGATCCCGAAGAAAGAGCGCGGCTGGCCACCATCTGGGCCCTCACCGAAACCTGAGGAAAGGTTTCTCAGTGCTGGAAAGGATCTGACACTTGGGTTTAAAACTTACAGGTATTTTTATTCAGAAGACTTAAAAAGAAGCAGCTTACTTGCTGCTACAAGCCCTTAGCACTTGATGTGTTACTGCTTTGCTTTTTGGCAGGCAGAAGTTTTGGTGCCCCTCAGTGTAATTCCCACCATCCTATAGCTTGTGAGGGGCGTACTCTGACCTGTTGGGCTTGGCACCAATGCCTGGAAGCCTGTGCCACTCTACTGTCTTTAAGAGGGGTTCCACATGGTGCCAGCCAAGAGGAGAGTCATTTTGCTACTTGCAGATCAAGCGCTTCCAGGTCTGCCAGCCCAGGGAACCTGGAAAACCTAAGCATGGGGAAAGCCTTGGTACAAACCGTGAGGGCTGCCCAGGGAGGCCAAGTCCTAAGGCTTGAGCACCATCTTCTGGTCAGTATTTGGCTTCTGAGGCCACCTCTCCTTTAAAGACTTCCCTTACTCTCTGGGATGGGAAGATCCCAGAACTGACAAGCCCAAGTGGCGGTGGGAGCAGCTGGCTGGGGCCAGCTGGGTTGAGCTGGCCTACGCAGGAACTCACTGTTGCCAGGACAGCCTGCACATAGCCAATACCAGTGAAGACAACCGCCAGCCCCTGAAAATACCAGCCAGAGCTAAAGCTCTACCTCAGCCCTTTTAGCTGTGCCCCACCTGCCTGTGTGCCTGCTGCACCAATAAAGCCCCACCTATGACCAAACTCAACCCCGTGTGCCTCTGCACACAGCCATGCAGGCACACTTGATGGAAAAAGGGGCGGGCTGGGCGGGCTTATCCCTGCCAGTGGGTGGCTGGAGGGTGAGCGATTCAGCTGGATGCCCCCTCTGCAAGGGGTCAGGCCTCACTAAGTGGCAGGGGGTCCTGCCTGCTGTATAAACACTGCACTAGCCTACTCCAACCTTTGGGTATCAAGGAAAAGAAGACAAATGCTAGTCATTCTCTCTAAACGGCAGGAACCAATATCCATCTAATTGCACTTCATAATGGATTCCACAAACCATTAATTACCAGATTATATTTTAGGAACTAAAGATAAAAGGCTTTGTGAAATTCAGACTTGGAAGGATCACTGACCTGCAGTAAGCATGCAGGCTGGGAGAGCTCAGAGAGTGGGCCATGCACAAGGCAAGCTCCCTGGTGGCAGGAGCACAGCCGGCGGCAGCCTGCTGCTCCTCAGAGTGCAGGCACAAAGCGGCCTGCCGGCTGCAGGTTCATTAGCAACATCACCAACTCCAGAGGGAGCCAGCGAGCAAGGCCTCCGGGGCAGGTGGCAGTATTAGCCTTTGATTAGAGGAAGGGGATGGGGAGAACATGGAAGAGCCGTGAGCAGCAGCCTTTAGGGAACGCCATGAAGAACACCCTAGCAGGCAGAGACAATCCGCTGCTGGATGGCCTTGCAGGAAACACTCTCAGGAGAAACACACCAAAGGCTCTGTTCCAGGAGGGCTGACTACTATAGACCAGGTGGGACCCGGCATGGAAATAAGGGCATTGTTAACACTGCCACCTGTCCTGCTGCCACCCTAGTGGCTGGTGTGAGCACAGGCACAGGAAGTAGATGTAGCTGAGCAGAGGGGAGGCTGGGACAAGCGAGGGAGGGCAAGTGTGCTTCAGGCTGGGGCCCTGCAGGGTCTGCTGTGCTTCTCTCTCATTTTTAAATGGCCAGAGGCATAGGCAGGTCTCTGTGCCCCACCTGCCTTTCTGTCCTCCAAGAGCTGCTGGCATGTCACACCTCCCTGAGCTCAGCTCCCATCCCACTGTTCTTTCAGGTTATTTCCAAGGCAGTAGCACAGAAGTCCGAACAACAGTCCGTGAGAAGGACGCTATTGGTTATGCAGGACAGACTGTCGGCATCCATGATGCAGACACTGGGTGTGAGGGCAAAGGAGCTTCTGTCTGTCCTTCGAGTGAGACCGTGTGGGCTGGTGCTAGGCTAAGAAGCTCACCACCCAGCTCAGCAGGGAAGGACAAAGGACAGGTTTCTGAGCTTCCGCTCGGAAGCAAACACAGGATCCCTCTGCTGGTGAGCAGCCGTGCCCCTCACTTGGCCTCACCACAGATCAGGGTCACAGTGCCATCCAGCAGATCCTCCACAGTCACTGCCACGAGCTCAGAGCCGGTCTGAGATGCCTGAGAGTCTGGCAAAGTCACAAACACCTGTGACCCAGCAAGCTGGGTCTCCTCCAGGGTGATCACCTGCTCAGTCGGGGCTGCCGGCTCTGAAGTCTGGATCACCTGAGAAGGAAAGAGCAGGGAGTTGCTCTGGGCAGTGTCCATGGTGAGCTCCCCAGAATTTACATGGCTTCTATCTCATGCTGTAATGATGATATTTATATTTTCACCTGAGGAGAGCAATTACTTGTGCCTAATGGGAAGAGGGAAGTCTAACACACCAGTGATGCAAAAGAGAAGGCAGGCAAACAATTTAACTCTGTGTACTAAATTGCTATAATTTCGCTCAGTATGCCATCTCGGGGTGCTGGACTGTGTGATTACACACCAGTGAACACTGGCTCAGTTTCTCACACTGGCTGTTCCTGTCTTGAAGATGACACTGCAGGGGGAAAGTGCCATGCAAGAGCAATGCCACTGTAGGTGGGTGGCCTTGTGCCTGCAACATGGCAATGGGTGATTAGCCAGAAGCCAGGCCTGCCAGGGTGGCATCACTGGGCCCCTGTGGGGGCTGAGAGCCTTCTTGGGGTACACACCTTCCAAGTCTCAGAGGAAGGCAGGGAGGAACTGTGGTTTCTGTATCTTATTCGTTCAGCTCAGCAGGCCGAAAGAGCGGGTACCCCCTCTCCTCAGGTCACACATGCCCCTCCCAGACCTGCATGATCTGTTGAAAGCAGCCTTCTGGGCTCCAGGAGAACTCTTCCATGGTTAAGCACGCCCTGTTCCTTCCTGAACCTCCAAGTTGGTGCTCTGACCTGTGGACCCTAGCACAGCATGATGCCCTGGATATTTTTACACCACTGAGCTCCCAGAGGGCACAGCCACCTGCTCTTGAGAACCAGCCAAGAGAGAAGCGCAAGCACGTAAGCGTGGAAGCCAAGCTCAGCTACTTCTCTGTGCTACGGATTGAACACAGCAACTGTGATATTTAATCAACAGCTATCTGGGATCATAGTTTTCAAACAGGTTTTCTTTATTTTAGGATTGGAGCCCCTCCATGCAGATCATTTTACTAGGAACTGTAATATAAAAAGAGGAAAGCAGAGAGGCTCTGGAAAGGACAACAGGAGTGTTGCCTGGAGTCCTGCCCACCCGACCTACCCTCTGTCTCCCGTAGGCTTTAAGAATGAAGTCACTGACCTATGTGACTGGGCAGTGGGACAATCCAATAGATTAAAGCCTCCACCACTTTACAGTTCCCCTCCAACCCACCTATAGGTCACTAACAACTGGCGGAGCTGTTTCATCTTTTCTGCTGCTCTCTCTACAGATAAGGAGGGAGGGTAAGAGAAGACCAGGGAAACACAGAGGCTGGGTCAAGCTTAGGCTCAAAACACTGAGAAGAGGTGGGCTTCTCAGCAGGTAAGGGGAGAGGCCCAGGCATGTGGGCCTGTCTAGCTAGGGGAGCCACCTGTGGGCTTCACCTGCAGTAGTCCCTGCCCAGCAAAGAGCCTGGCCACCCCTCTGTCAGGTTTCCCGCATACCTCGCACACACCAAGGCATCTCTTAGAAGATGGGAGTGTGTGAGCAGGGCAGGGAAACAGAGAGCCTTCTACTTCTGGAAATTCTCTATCTTAGGGGCTGCAAGGAGACTAGAACTTTCTGTTCTGTTTGATAAGAGGTCCAGAGACACTTAAGATCATGAATGTATCACTCCCAGACCCTGAAGAAGCCCCAGGGAGTAAGACTGAGTGTTGGGACAGAGGTACCTCTACAGAACCCCTAGGGGCCCCGTGACCGCAATCTGTGTCCCCGGGGGCCCCAGAATCACCTGCACCATCTGGGAGGTGGCTGCCTGGGTTTCGATGCCAGTCACCTTTGGGTGCTCAGACTCCAGGTGGCCGTCCAGCTGCGCCTGGGAGGTGAAGAGCTCCCCACAGAGCTCGCAGGGGAAGGTGCTCTCCGACTGCTTGAAGTGCTCTGTGGTGACGTGGTGCTGCAGCGCTCCAGGGAAGCGGAAAGTAGCTGCACAGTACAAGCACCTGAATGGCTGGGACCCTGGACAAGGGGAGGCAGAAGAGATGGGCTGCGGGTGGAATGACTGACAGAGCAGGGAGATGTGAAGTGAGCATGAAACTTAGGAGAGGCAGAGCTGGGTTTTGGGAGGCCTGAAACACATGCCATTTGGAGGGGCCTTTCCTTACAAAAGGACACATACAGAACAAATGACAAATACAGAACTAGATGCAGAGCTTTGAAGGGTCCCTTTCAAGTGAGGGGCTCTCAAAGTCCAGTTTCATTACCATTAGATTTAGGCTAACTTTGCCCTGGCTGAAGCCCATTATTCACTCAGTGGTGGCCAATGACACTGATGACACCATCTTTCATTACTCTAAGGAGCGCACTTTCAGATCCCCGGATGGAACAGATGGCATCTCTACCTGCTATGGGCCAGACAGCAGTCAGGTGTGGCTGCAACACCTGTGTGTGCACAAACCTCTGGATTTACAAGATGCGAGTCTAGGGGCTGGAATAAAGCCCCTAACACAGGATGGTGCAATTTTAAAAGGCTAAAGATTTACTTGATCTGAAGAGAAACCAGATTATCGTGCACTTTTAATTCATAGGAACAAAATGTTCTGCGGGGAGGAGGTAAGTGATGATGAGTTAGGTACATTCCTAAACCAGGAATCAAAAGCAGTCTAGTTTATATAATGTTCAGAGACCAAAGGAATGGCCTTCAGCTTTGGGCTCTAACACCAGTGCTCTGATGGCAGGGTAAACACTGGGTGAAGAGACACGCACGTCCAAAAGTGGAATCCAAAGTTACTCTGAGAAGCTGGATTCTTCCCTCAACCAATTTATTTCCTGTGTTTTAGTTTTCACTTGTGCACTTACGAGTGAGTGACCTCAAATCGATGTCAGATTAAGACTAAAATAGCATTTAGGCTAAACTAAAAATTCTAAGTGATTAAAAGGTATTTAACTGATAGCACTTTTTATTTCTTAATGGCTCAGTAAAAATAGTGCATTTTATGTGGGGAACGGGAGGCTGAGGCAGGAGGATTTCACACTAAAGCTCTGCCTGGGCAACTTAGGGACTCAGTGAGAGGCTATCTCAAAAAAACAAACAAACAAAAAGGTGCATTTTATAACTGGCATTTTAGATTTGATGAAATACAGCAATAACAGTGATACTCATCGCTAATACTTAAGGGATACTTACTGGTGTGAGGCTGTAATATTTCATAGTTACCCTATATGGTGGGTACTACAATTGCTCCCACTTTCTAGCTAAGTGACTGGGTAGCGCAGCAGTGATCACACCTAGGCAGTCTGGCCCAGGGCATGCACACTGACCTGAATGCTGGCACTTGATGTGAACCTGCAGCAGAGCTGGCGTAGGGAAGAGCTCCTTACACTGCTCACATTCGTGGAACTTCAGATCTGTGAAGTGCAGAGGAAAAAGTGAGGCGAAAGGAAAAAGGATGGCCCCTCTAAGACCAGAGGAGTGTCAGGTGAGACTGACGCTGCCCACATCATCTTCTACCATGTGCCAGGGACCTTAAACCGGAAGGTTTGTGTAACTCAGTAGTGAAGAACACTGATCTGGTCCAGACTGTCTGGATGCAAAGAGGGTTTGAGAATAAATGAGGAAATACACATGGAGTGCTTGGCTGGCGCCCTACACACAGGAAATGCTCTATAACTGACAGCTGTTGTGATTATGTCCAAATTTATCTGCAAGGCAGGTATTAATAACTCCCATTCTGAGAAGGAAACAGGCTCAGAAAAGAGAAGTCACTTGCCAAGGTCATGCAGCTGGTAAGTGTTGGAGTCAGGATTTCCTCCCCAGGCAAGTCTGCCACCAAAGCCGATACCCTTCCCACATACTGTGACTAGGTCTTACTTGCGGGCTGGCAGGAGCACACTGCTCTAGAATTCCAGGAGTGGGAATCACTGCCACCCAAGCTACTGCCACTGAGAGATGGGTGCGGCATCCTTCAGGGTGCTGAGACCAAAGGTGCAATCACCTCAGCATAGCACACCACAGAACCAAAGCCAGCACTTCTGGACAGAAGCCCCTCCCACATACCAGCTCACACTGGCTCTGTGGTCCCCCAAACTCACCTGCATGCTCCGCTTTGATATGCTTTTTATGCTCGATGGTGTTAGGAAAGGTTTTATCACAGGAACTGCACTGCAGTGACGAGAACTTGGATGATCGATGGTTCTGAGCAGCAAACACATCTGGGTGGTGGGTCCGATTGTGGTACCACAAACCAGACAATTGCTATAAGGAATTTGGCAAATGTTAGGTCTTAGAAAGTTCGAGCAAGCTAGAGAGCCCATGAGGGCCTTACAAGAGAGAAAACATGTTCTGAGATAAACTCGTGGATCTAGAATCACACTCTCTTACCCATCACACAGAGCGTAGAGCTGAGGAGAAGCTGGTGCCTGTGGGAATAAGGCAACTGGGAACCCATGAAGAGGACGCTCAGGCAGGCTGAGCTAAGTCCTCTATAAGCCCTCACTGCTTACAACAAGCTGATGGAGGATGTTAGCATCCTTCCTCTGAGGTGGAAGCTGAGGCACAGACGGATTAAATGACTTGCCCAAGGTCACACAGTTGGTAAACAGGAGCAGGATTAAGCCTGGCCTCCGGCCTGAAACATCTATTTTTCAGGCTGTGATGTGCCTCGCTGGTTCCCAGAAGCCCAGCAGTGTAGCAGAGCAACTTGCTGGAGGAAGAGTCCACGGCTCCAGAAGCAAGCATCCCTCTCTGCTCCAGGTTCTAAAACTGCACTGACGCCGGGCATGGTGGGCATGCACGCCTGTAATCCCAGCACTCGGGAGGCTGAGGCAGGAGGATCTTTGTGAGTTTGAGGCCAGCCCGGGCTATAAAGTGAGCTCAAGGCCAGCCTGAGCTGCATAGTGAGACCCTGTCTCTAAAAAGACCTAAATAAATAAATAAATAATAAATAAAAATAAATAAAACAGCACTGAGAATACTGCATACAATTTTTGGTCTCCTAGAGATCAAGCCCAGGTCTTACTCAGCTGTGTCACGCAAATGTCACAGCACAGGGCCTGACACAACACTGGCTTTCCACTTCTAAATCAGCTGCTACACTTCTGTCTATACCTCCACCTCAGAGGCACCAGCAAGGACACTTCTTTCTGGGACAGTTTCTGGCAGATGAGGTTTCTTTTTAGTCCTATATGGGATTCACTGTAATTACATGCCAAGTTCCAAGGTAAAAACACAGAGCCCTTCCTTGATAGTTAAAAAAAGCCAAACAACAAAGTAATTCTGGGTGGTGATTTGCTCCCCATTATCACTCTCATATCCCTGGAAACAGGTAGTATAGCGCAGGAGCATCCAAGGGGAAAGACAGCATTCAGCTCAGGACAAAGCTCACGTCTAAGAGAGAGGTGTAAGAACTCTGCTCCAGTTACAGCCCCCACTGCATCACTGGCCAGATCTCCTCAGAGAATATGAATGACAAGCTGCCTTTTAGCTTTTGGAGTCTGGGGATCAAACCCAGGGCCTCCTCCATGCCTAGCATACACACCACCGAGCTGCACTCCCAGCCGGTCCATCAGGAGAAACAAACTGTCACCTCTTAAAGACAACATGGGACAAGCTGCGAGTTACAAATGTGAACATCAGGGAGCCAACTGGAGAGTGGGGCAGGCACTGAGGGATGCTCCCAGTGGCACAGGAGGTCACCTGGTAAGCCTTGTTGCAGATCCCACAGCTGAAGGGCTTCCCTCCAACATGGGTCACCATGTGTCGCTCCAGCATGGAAGGGGCACTAAAGATCTTCCCACACGTGGGGCAGGGGTGGTATTCCTTGGAATGCACCTCGTGGATGTGCTTCCGGTGATCCTGCAGAGTGGGGAAACTCATCCTGCATTTCTTGCAGTCATAAGGGTCTTCGATGTCTGGTTCCAAGAAGGGCATCAGCAAGAGGAAGAGGAGGAGGGGGAAAAACAGCACAGGCAGCAATTAGTGAAACACGGTTGCTGTTTAGATGTCAGGCAGGGTCACAGACTCCAGGGACCCCAAGTCAGTGCAGCAAGGCCAACGGCCCCTACTTCACCCTAGGAGTTGGGCTGTGTTGAGCTTTCTGGATTAAGCATCCACGCAGCAGCAAAGAGTTCATCTTAATCCCTCATTTTATATCCTAAATGTTAAAGTCTACTTCACCACTTCCCAAGGAGTAGTACGCTTGCCCTTCCTGTTTGCAGTGGCATTTTGAGTTTTGTAGTTCTCTGTAGAGATTTCCAACATACCTTAGCACCACTATTTTTTTGTCATCAGCAGTATGAAGAGTGCGTCCTGGCTCCCCACCTTAGATTCAAAAATAAAACCTTTGCATAGATGGCACTTAATAAGTGCCTTATGGAGGCATGTTCTAAGTGTATTTTAACTCCCTTACTCTTTCCAATAGCCCTGTCAGTAGATTCCATTCTTATTTTATAGGCTGGGAAAAACCAAGGTATAGAAAGTTAAATCAGCACTTTACCCAAGCGTATAACTAGGAAATGGCCCTCATTCACAAGCCCATGCTCTGAACCATATGCTTAATTGGACACACTAACTTCTCAGTGTGACCTCAAACATAAGTAGCACTGATAGAGAATATACTTATCACGTGGTTGGCAGAAATCTTCGGTCTTCTTAAAAGCAATAGAAAGCAAAATGTTTTAATAATAAACCGTTACCCAGAAAAAAGGTTCAACCCACACGCCAATCTTATGTGTGTGCTGACTCAGATTAATGCAGGAATTCTGACACGCAGCAGCATTTGGTATCATTAACTAGTTTCCCTGTGGATAGTGTGGACAGCAGCTCTTGAAATCTCAGTTTTGCACTGTCTTTTAAGATGCTTTGACACAGATTTCCATGAGCAATGATGTGGCCCTCAGAAATGCAAGGAGTGGGAGAGGGTATATGAAGTCTGAAGGACAAAGGGGCCTGGATACTGGCCCCAGATGATGATATACAGTACTCCAGGGCATGGCAAAGTATCTTAGGTCCTCTCTATTCTGAAAATTAGCATCTTCCTGCCACTTCCTGATTCTCATGTGATGCTACTAGGAAAAGAAGACTAAAGCACAATGTCATCTTAGAAAGTTAAGAGGACACTAAAATTGTGGTGCTGGATCCAAGCCAAATCCCACCCATCTGCAAGTCTACTATAATTGGATTTTTTGTACAGTCTTCGTAACTCCTTAGAGAGAAAGGGCCACATTTTGTACTCCTCCTGCATGACCCAGTATCCACTCCCATGCTGAACACATAGGCGTTCTGGCAAAATCCGTTGGCTGGATGACAACAGACATAGACGTATTCACAGAAAGCGTGTGTTGTTAGACAATATTTACCAAAGTTAGAGGCTGGTATCTGGGAATACAGGTAGGGAGTAGGGAGGGCAAGGAGAATATACAAGGTACCTGGCTTGCAAATTAAGCAAGCTCTGATAGTGACAGATGGTACCCGACAGGGGTGCTCTTATCACTAATAATAATAGCTGGCATGTTTTGAACACTTCTGTGTGTCAGACACGGAACTTCATGCTTACATGCTTATTTAATTCTTACAGCAATCCAAAGTGGTGGCACTGTGTTATTTGCTCTAGCTGGAAGGGGCCTAACAGGCTTAGCAAGGCAAAGAAATTTGTTTAAGGTCTCCAGAAAAGTAAGTGGAAGGGTCAGGATTCATGTCCAACGTTATGTGATTTCAAAGTCCAAGTTTTCAATTTCCCTGCTATTCCACACACTGCCTACATTCTGGCTTTAACAAGGGAGACTGCAGAAGGCCCGAGGGGACCAGCCACACAATAAAATAAGGACCCCAGGATTTCTTTTTTCCTTTGCACATGCACATGTGTGAATATGTTTTGAATAAAAGTACGTGTCTGTATGAGTTCTAGAAGAAAGGAAGAAAGACAGGGACAGATTGTACTGAGGGAAATACAGTGATACCTTGGTTCACGAATGTTTGTTTATGAACAATTTGGTTTTCAAACAGAAGCATCTGACAAAATTTTGTTTTTGTTTGCAAACTGCAACAGGTGATGAAGATGACTGTGACCATCTTTTCTGCATGAACATGAACATGGCCATTTTCTCCAGAATTGCGGAACCAATTAAGTTTGTGACCTGAGGTACAACTGTATAAATAGTCTTGCAAGAGAAGGTTGAACAGGAAGCTTTGAAGGGAACATGCCCAGCGCTACCGAGGATGGTAGAATGATCTCAGATAAGGTCAAGCTTGCTCCTATGGGAAAAGGCAGGTATGAATAGATGATGAGAGTGGAGGAAGGTTGGGGAGAAAACAGAATCTCAGAGGATTAATGGAAATACTCCAGCATCCTGGGAGCTTGTCGGTTACACGGGTGTTTCCTTCAAATACAATTTGTGCCTGTTTGGGCCAAAGAGTGCCAGGTGGGCTAAAGAGGAAGACAAGAAACGGCCTAGACAGAGCAAAATCAGCACCATACAGAGGAATGTTAGAATGGGATTCTTTCTGAAATAGGAAAGAGAGACTGTGGGCTTTGTAGAAGACTAAGGGAGGGGAGGGCCCTGAATGGGGCCTGGCTCTGGTGGAGCGACGTCTCTGTTATGACTGCTACTTGCTTTCTCAGTGCCGAGCCTGGCCCCGAGTGCCTGACCCCTCTGAACTCAGTACGTACTGTGAAAGGTGTGCAGGTGGATGGAGAGGCCATTGGCTTGCCGGAAGCCCTTGCCACAGTCCCTGCAGACATATGGTTTGTCTCCGGTGTGAGTCCTGACGTGGCGGGACAGCTCGATGGACTGGGCAAACACAGCATCACAGTATTGGCATGCATACATTTTTCCTGCAAATATACATGAGCTTATGAGAACCAGCACTAAACATGGCATTCCTACAAAATCAAATTCTAAGAAACATACCAGGGAAATGTCCTCTGGGAAATGACATTAAAACTTCAGGCAATCTGTAATACACTGGATGAGGGGTCTGACCCATCCTGTCAAATGCATAAACACAGCCCATCACACAGAAGGTCAGTACAGAGGGACAGGGACAGACTTCTCATCATGCAAGAGAACCCATCTCTTTATCAGACCACCATGATGGTCATTCCACTTTTGGCCAATAGATACGTCCTTGTGAGTTTATACCACCTTGCAAAACACACAGTGTAGATTTGCGACTGCATACTAATGTGAAACATGGATTCAGAAAAGAATAAGTCTCTTTTTGGCAGCACTGGGGATGAAGCCCAGGGCCTTTGCACTGAGCTACAATTCTCAGCTTCTCTTAACATTTTTATATTTTGAGACAGGGTTTCACTAAGCTGCCCCAGCCAAACCCAACTTAAAGCCTTTTTCTAGGGACTTACAATGAAGTTATTATACACCCCTTGGTTTCTTGACTTCCTCACACACATAATGAGAACGTAGTAGCTGCACTACCAAAGAGTGTTAGAAAAACAGGTAAAGGGCAAGTCTGGGGGCTGGCATTGGAATGAAAGGCTAGGCCAGCTGAGCCTCCCAGTTCCCTCATGCGCCGAGGGAGGAAGCAGAGCAATCAGGGAGGTGAGGCTGCGGACCAGCCCTCGCTGATCCTAGGCCCTACTTTAACCAGGGCAATCAGCCTCGTTTTCTTATTTTACCTACTGGTTTGAAACAAGATTTTGCTAGGGCAAAGGGGTTTCTTGAATCAAAAGCTGAAATAATTGAGAAGCCTGGGGCTTCGTCCTTGACCTTTTCTACCCTCACTTACTCTCTGATCTCATCTCAGAGCCTTGGACCCCCTGCACATCAATAGCGCCACCGTCCCCTAAAACTCTGTACTTAGCCTCCCAACCCTGCCTGCTCTACCTCTCCCTTCAGAGCTCGACCAGGCATCTCAAATGGACTTAATCAAAGCAGGGCTCCTGACCCCCACCACACTCTCTCACTCAGGGAGGCGTCCCTCACTCTGCTGCTCGTGCCCAAGTCCCACAGCCGTTCGTAATTCCTCTTCCCCCACATCCAGTCCATCGTGAGTCGTTACCTCTACTTTCAAAAACACATCCTCCAACCCGAACACTCTTTCACCTCCACTAAGACCTCTAGGTGACAGTGCCCTCCCTTGTCTAGGCCACTGCAACTGCCTCCCCCTGCCTCTGTCACCACTAAACTCCCACTCTGGACTGGTTCGCTGGCCAGAGCAGCCTGAGCTAACAGTGTAAATCACACCCTGTTATACCTCTGCTCAAAACCTCCTGTGGCTTCCTGTGGTCAGTACAATAATGGGCCCCTAAGGTGCCTGTATCCTAAACCCTGAAACCTGTTAAATGCTATCTCACATGGCAGAAGACTTGGGACCTGTGACTGAGTTAAGGATCTTGTGAGGGAGAGATCATCCTGGATTCCTCAGATGGCCCAACAGAATCCAGAAGGTCCTGGCAGAGGGAGGAAGGAGTCAGAGGAGCCATGGTGACAGAGGCAGAGGCTGGAGTGATGTGGCCATGAGCCAAGGACTGTGGGTGGCCTCTTGAGGCTGGGAAAGGCAAGGAACAGATCCTCCTCCAGTGCCTCCATCAGAAGAAACACAACTCTGTGCAACCTTGATTTTAGCCTCACCAGACCCAGTTTTTAACTTCCAGACTCCAGAATGGAAAGATGACATGTTTGGGCTGTTTTAAGCCACTATTCTGGCAATTTGTTAAAGCAGCATTAAAACTGCCTTTCTTCATACAACAGCTGAAAGTCTTCCCCTGGCTATGAGGCCCTGTGGGACCTGGCTTCAGTGATGTACCTGGCCTTCGCTCTTAACACACTCCCCTCACGCTCTGCTTTAGCTCCTTCTAGTTCTCCGTGGTCTCTCAAGCAGATAAAGCTCATTGCCACTTTGGAGATCAGGTTCTACACTTGACGCCCTTCTCTCCTAGGCCATCTACTGGCTCCCCCACTGTATCTGGGTTCCACAATTAACACCCTCCCTCACAGGCATCGCTGATGGCACTCCCTACCCTGCCATTCTCGGCTGCTCATCTGGTTTTATTTTCCTTCACAGCAATGGCTACACTCTGGATTTCTACTGCGCATTTATTTAATGTCTGTCTTACTCCTTGGAGTATAAGCTCCACGAGCACAGGGTGTATGCATTTATAATATCCCTGTGCTGGGAATAGCACTCAAGAAATGCTTTCATCAGCAAGTATTTGGGGGCTGACTACTGCCAAGTTCCTCAATTCAGTATGTGTGTGTGTGCGTGCATGCGTGCTATTAGCTCTCGCCTCACAGAGCTTCTACTCTAAAGGGGGAGACTATACTAGTACTGTAGACCCCATCACACAATCTGCACTACGGAGAAGAAAGATGCGGGGAGCAGGCTGGGTGCTGAGATTCCCTCCAGGGTGGTGGGAAGGACTCGCAGAGAAGGTGGGGTGTGAGGGAAACCTGGAGGAAGGTGAGGACGTGAAGCAGGAAGAGGGAGGCGCCCCAAGAAAGTAACAGTGAAAACACAAGTCCTTGAGCAACTGCCTGGCAGGGCTGAGGAAACTAAAATGGGCAGAACAAAATAAGGGAGTGGGAGAGTAACGAGAGAGGAAGTCAGAGAGGAATCAGGCAACTTAATCTTGGAAGGCCTGGCAGGCTATCAGAAGGACTTCAGATTCCACACTGTGTGAGATGAAAGCCACTGTAGAGTTTTGAGCAGAGAAGTGACCTGAAGTGCTTTAGTTTTTAAAGTACCAAGGGAAATGCCAAGAGCAAGGAATTGCTTAGGAGGGTATTGCAACAACGCAGGGGAGAGGATGGAGGCATTATTACTTATCCATACATGCTCCAACCTATACCTAGACCCTCCAGAAACCTCCCCTGACAACACACTTCCTCCCCTCTGACTAGGCTAGAAGCCCTTTGCCCTCTGCTGCAGGGTCCTGGTATTCCTCCGTATCACACTACTGGCCACCTGCACTCCGACTGGCTCTGCACCTCCCACCCCAGCTCATCGGTTACAGAAGCACTGAATTCCAGTTTGCCACTCAGCATCTAGCACTGCCCGCTCCACAGCAGGTGCTCCAGGAGGTCTTTCTCATGCTTAACGACACATCAAAGCTCAAAGAATTCCTGGCTATGTAAATTCTGTAACTACAAAGTCACAATGATATGCCGGCCAGCCTCTCCTCAGAAACCCTTGCAGCAAGCACTCGACACGCCTGGGCACAGATGGAGGCCTAGTCATGTGTGGACCGAGAGTACGAGCTCTAGTTTTGTTTGTCATTTTCCTGACACGTACATCGCGCCTGACACCAAGCGGGTTTGCGGCAGCTCACACTGCGCAAGTGTGCAGGAGACAGGAAGGGTGTCTCTGTCTCACCTTCCGAGTGCTTCTTCTTAGTGTGGTAGGCCAGGGCTGAGGCCTGTGTGAAGGTCATGAGACAGTGCTTGCACATGAAGGGGCGGTCCCCAGTGTGCAGGCGGAGGTGGTTCTTTAGGGTGGAATTGGCTGCGAACTTGGCCCCACACTCCTCACAGGAGAAAGGCTTCTCATCGAAGTGCTCTGTCAGTTTATGGTATTGCATGCCTGGGAAAGGGAACAGGAGAGAGACCAGCAGTCAGTGCCAGGAGCTCAGCAACACTGCCTAATAGCACTGGCTCACGCCAGGCTTCAAGAGGAAGCACAGTGGAAACCACTCTTTCTCTTAAAGAGACCCCAGCCACTCAGTTCAGTTCAGAAAGAGGCAAACAAAACTCACTTTCATGTTTCATTAGGCTTACCCAACATCTCAGACAAGGGAAAAAGTTCTGACTACATTCCCCATGGTTTCTGTGACTTCTTATTTATTACCAAGAAGCAAGTGGTGCATGGAAACCTAAGATTCAGCTGTTTACTGTTACTAAGTAACAGTAGTAGTAACTTCTAAGTTACAGTGTGCTAACTACAGCAGGCACTACAGTAGGGGTTCAGCTCTGTTATCTTAAACTTCCCTGACAATTCAAAAAGTAAGTGGTACCAGATGGGAAATTTAACAGATGGGGAATCAATGCTCAGGTAGCTGGTTTCAGAGCCAATGCTGTTCTGGAAATATTATCCTTCCTCTTAAGAACCAGCTCTGTTTTCTAAACCTATCCACATTCCATGGCACACAGCTAGGGGTCAGGCTAGAATCCCAACTACAATATCTGCTGTGATTATCCTCATGACTTTGCCTTCTTGGTCATACCTGAGGCATGGGCAAATTCTCTTCCACAGAGGTCGCACGTCACTGGGAGCCTCTTCTTCTTCTTTTTGGGGACTTCAGGGTCTCCATTTGCACCGTGGGCCTCCAGCTGATGCTTCTCCAGTTCTTTCTTGGAATCCTTGGTCTCGCTGCAGTCCTTACACTGCACCTGTTTGCTCTTGGCCACCCGGCAGCGCTTCAGGTGCACCTTCAGGCGGCAATAGAAATGGAAGCTCTTGTCACAGGCCTTACAGACGAAGCTCTTCTTGGCAGAGTCTGGGGAGGCAGAAGTGTCTTTCTCTTGTTGTTCTGGCAAGGAACCAGCCTCTCCCTGGTCGTTCTGTTCTGCAGGCTGGCAGTCATTTTCCGCAGTCTTTTCATTTTCTTTGTCATTGGCTTCAAGGTGAAATTTATTACTCACCTTCCACATTTCCTTCTCTCCATTTTCCTTAGTAAGGAAACCTGCACAGAAGAGAAACCTTGTGGCTCTGGAGATTCTCTTTCTACTTTGCTTTATAACTTTTCTAAATACTCTTAGAGGAGACTGGAGACTTGAGAGCCCCCAAAACTCTGCATATGTATCACTGTCATCTTACCTCCCCATAAACACAAATAGCACCATCTTCTATCTGTCTTCTGGCTGATAGAGACAGAGAACATGAAAGGGGTAAATAACTCGAGGTACGACAGCCTCACATGAGCTGTTGCCTCTTTTCCTCCATAAAGAGTGAGCCTAGGGGCCTAATAGGGCCCCCAACCCCCTGTTCCTTACCAATTTGTGCCAACTCCTGCATGACGGGCTGCAGGCTTGGGACACATTTGTGGACACTGCACAGGAAGTGACAGATTTCAACGGCCGAGACTGATTTTTCCATGGATCTGCTCAGCACCGCTCTCAGGGAAGCTTCAGGGCTGGTTGACTCAGAGGAAATGCTCAAAATCTAATGAATACCACACGCAAAGGTATGGGTTAATACCAGATTTCCCCCAGGGTTTCCAACTTCAAGCTAATTCTGGAAGGGACAGCGTCATCTATAAGCAGTTTATACTTGTCCTCACAACACATGTAATGGGACATCCCTGTTTTCCAAAGGCCGGGAAACGAACAAAACAAAAAGCGGGAGCACATATCAAAATAAATGTGCAAATACAAAGAAGGTATGAACAGGGAACCATTAGTATTTTCTGTAAGAATTAAGTTCTTAGCAACCAGGACTCTCGCAGAGAGCTCTTCCAGATCTTCACATTAAAAGCCTGGAGAGCTATAGGATTTGATGGTTGGTCTTTCTGTCGCAAAGATCAGGATCATTTTTCATAATATATAATTGTCTCAATGTCTGGAAGTAATTCTGCATGATCAGTGGTTTCATATTTTTAGACACTTAGATGTACCCTTTTAAACATCATTTTCTTTCATAAAGAAACTCAGCGTTCTAAAGCAGGTTCAAATAGGGGCTTTAAAGAGGCCAAGAATATGATTTCAAAGCCGTTCTCTTTCAGAATGTTACAGCTATCAGCAAAGAGTCAGCATACTGAGAAAATAAAGTGAAACCATCCACAGATGGCCACATGGAATTTTCATTTTGGAAGACATTTTATTTCTGCTCTTTTCAAGTCTATCTAAATAAACCTGATGTCCCTGGAGGCAGGCAGGAGACTAATTAGGAGGCTAGAACCGATCAAGTGCAGAAGCCTCACTCTGAAGTACGTAGTGTGCTGCAGAGCGGCTAGCACAGAAGTCTTGCCTCTGAAGCCCCACAGAGACATGGGCCACCTTCTTCCCAGCTGAGAGTCAGACCCAGGTGGGGCTGTCAGCGGCGTGACGGTCAGAAACCTGCCCTTCTGCACACCTCCCATGCCTACCTGGATCAAAAAGACGCTACAAGTGAATTCACAGTTTAATTTTATATACCTTTATTCTTCTTCTCTGTTCAAGATGTACATGATCCTGGCTAGACACGCACGAATCCCCTCCAATCCCCACCTGGTTTTTCTGGGATGCTGGCCACATTGTGAGAAGCCTTTCAGAAAATGAATTGGCACTATTTGCTGCCCCATATGGGCAAAAGCTTTGTTCTATCTATGTTTATCTTGGCTCCTTCAAGGAGCCAGAATAGAACATGTAATAAGACCAGCTTGACTTTCCATCATCTGAGAGACATTGTGTCTCAGAACATGTTAGAGATCAGAATCACGGTTTCCCCTGAGAGTCCCTTCGATGGGTAGAATAAATGTGGGTATGAGTTGTATAACTGGGTTCTAATCCTGGCTTCCAATCTTGCTCACTGGACATGCAACTTAACCACGTGGGGCCTGAGCTCCGCTGCCTGCAAAATGTGATGGCATCACCCAACATTTGGAGTTGGAAAGTTAAAACAGCCAGGGTTATAAAGAAGAGCTTAGCCCAGGGCCAGGCTCACACAGCAGGTATCAGCAGAGGCTGGTTCTTTCCTCAGGAATGAAGATAGTCCCAGGCATCAACCCTGAATTTGCTTTGCTTTTTATTTGTCCACACCTCTTTCAAACTCCTGGCCAGCTGCTCTTCCTCCAAGGAAAAGGACTTGAGCTCACCCCTCCATTGGATGGCCTCTGTGATCAACTTGTTATGCCTCAGGAGTATTTTGAAGGCAGTAGTTTCTGGGGTTGTCACTGAAAGAAAGGGACATTGGAAACTTAGTCAAACTAGGGGCCCCATTTTCTCTTTCATCTTCTTTACCACAGTTCTTCATAATGAAAACACATTTAATTTGTCTCCCATCTAGGGTTGAGTATGAGGAAAATGACAAAAAATATGGCAATCAGAGTATAATAATAAATATAAGCTTAGAAAAATCACTGCAATTTTTAAAAAGGTTTTTAATTGCCGTATCCTTGAACAAAATTGCTAGTCCTGTTTTTAAAAAAATGTACATATTTATGGAGTAATGTGATGCATTTGCGCATGTATATGTGTAATGGTCAGATCTGGGCAAGCACTTTTATCTCTTTAAATACTTTTGGGAACACATTCAAACTCCTTTCAAGCTGGGCTTGGTGGTGCACATCTTTAATTCCAGCACTGAGGACGCTGAGGCAGGAGGATCTCTGTGAGTTTGAGGCTAGCCTGGGCTACACAGTGAGTTCAGGGCCAGCCTGAACTGCACAGTGAGACCCTGTCTCAAAAAAACAAAACAACATTCAAAATCTTTTCTCCTATCTCTTCTGAAACATACAGTATGTTATCATCAATAACAGTCACCCTACTGTGCAAGATGACCCAGAACTTATCAGTTGTTACTCCAAGGGGCAGAGATGTGGATACCACGCGAGCGAGGTTTTTTTTTTCTGCTCCTGAGTACATGGACCATTATCTCTATGGAAGCAACACGGCAGAGGCCAGGCAACTTACCTGCCCAGAAGAAAGCATTGGCACCGGGCTCCTTTCGTATTTCCCCCATGAGCAGGTTCAAGGGGCAGGTCTTCGTCTCCTGAGCTGCCAGAAGCAGCTGCCAAACGGCTGTGGCAGAGAGAGTCCGCTTTTCTAGAACTGCTGACATCAGGGAGCTGAAACCACCTGAGCCGGAGCCCTGTTTCACAAGCTCCTCCATGACCTTCAAGATGAAACACAAACACACGTAAGAGAGTCTCCAGCCTGGCGCGGCCACAGAGCTGTAGGTCTAGGTACTGAGTGACAGTGAGTGTATTTCTGAGAAGGAATCTATCAACATTCCTCAACCTCTCTCAACCTAGGAGATATTTTTTTTCTTTTTTTAAATCAAATTTATTTGGGGGATAAATGAATTGGGGAAATAGCTCAGTGGTAGAGTGTTTGCTTACCATGTGTGAGACCATGGATTCCTTATTTCTAGCATCAAAAAGAAAAAAATTATTTTTTTTTTTTTAAACTGAGCGATTTCCTATATATGGCAAATTTCTTCATTTTCCCTTCTGGTGAGTTACCTTTATTTCTCCTTCTCCACTCAGCATTTCTCAGTGTAGCTGTGTATGCATACTTATAGAAAACGCATGTGCGTCTGTCGGTATTTCTCCTTCTTACCCTCCCCTCTTTACCCCGCACCGTGCTCTTACTTCTCTTTCTCCAGGGGATATACTCTTCACATGTGAGATCATCTTTAGCAACATCTGGTTGTCTGTTAAAATCTCAGAGAGGTTTTCATGATACCGTCTCAGTAGCTCGGTCCCATAATCATCAGGGCTTGGCTGGACTGTAAGGACAGTAGCAAAACAACATTGTCTGATGCAACAAAACCTCCTGAGGGCTTCACAGAGAACTAAGGACATTACCGATGGGAGAGGCAGATGAGCGCCAGCAGAGTCCAGCTGCCGCCTTGGGGCTGCACACACCTGTTCAGATCTGGCTGACACTTGGTGCTTCAGGGTCACACAACCACTAACACTTTGATAGTCAGTGTCCAGTGGTAGAAGCCAGTGGCTGCTCAACAGGAGGGTAATGAGAAGCAAGCAAGAGGTTCAGATGTACACACACAAGGGCTATTGCTAAAGAAGCCCAAGGAAAAGGATCCATGTGGTGATCCAGAGTACGAGCGGCCGTGAGTCAGGGCTGAGCCCGTCAAGAAGCTGCTCCACAGTTCCGGTAGACACCCTCTGAGCCCATCTTTTAGCCATAACCTTTTAAGAAGTTATACTTATTTGAAAATAAAGAAAAACCAAAATGACCAGGTATGTCCCTCAGCTTTGCAGATACTGAAAATTTTATTCTCCCTTTGACCCAACAAATCCATTTCTGGAAATTTAATCTTAAAAAAATTACCTGAAGGCCAAAAAAAAAAACTACAAAAACTAGTATTTACTGAGTTCCCACTATGTGCCAGGGGTTGTCCTAAATGTTCTGTAAGTAGTATTTCATAGGAGCCACAGAAATGAATGTGATACACACCACTCTCATACCCATTCCAAGAGAAAACAGGGTTTAGAAAGGTTATGTCCCTTGCTCAGGGTCACAGGATGGTGGAGTGAGGCTATCAGTGTAGGTCATCTTGACACTAGAGCCTACAGTATGAACTATTATACCATCCCTGTCCCCAAGTAAGGGCATGAGTAATACTCAGTCATCCTTATGATGGAAAACTACACAGCCTTCATAAAACAGGATTATGGGGCTGGCTGTGGTGGCACATGCCTATAAGCCCAGTCCTTGGGAGGCTGAGGCAGGAAGATTGCTATGAATTTGAGGTCAGTCTGGGCTACATAAGCGAGTTCAAAGCCAGCCTACACTACATAGTGAGATCCTGTCTCAGAAAAAAAGAAAGTAATAATAATAAAAAAGGATTATGGGAAGTTTTATGAAATGTGTGAAAAATGTTGTGACACTGTTAAGTAGGGGAAACTATAAGTACTGTAAAACACAGTAACATCTAAACACTGTAAAAGTCAGTTAATAGCTAATATATGTCAAAATGTTAATATTGATACACTTGATAGGACTTTAGGTTGTTTTCTTTTTATTTTTGGAATTATCTACGTTTTTAAAGTATATTTTACTTTGTGAACTAAAAGTTCTCCTATTTCCCAAGGATCTTTTTTCTTAAAGCCATCTCAGTTCTAAATGCTGTGCGTCAGGAAAACAGGCCCCAGGTAGACTTTCTGAGGAATGTACATGGACTCATTCCCCCAGCTGAGTGGACAAGAGTGGTTTGGCCTCGGGACTGCTGGAGCCAAGCAGCACTCGAGCAGGAAATGGGGCAAAGAAGATTTGCATTTCTGTTGCTCACATCTGCCCACAAAGCTTATCAGAATGCTGGGACTTGTGAGCCCTCTGTACCTGCAGCTTTCACAGGTGACCCTGGACAGCCTCAGAAAGCCACCAGTTAATAAACCCTGAGCCTTGGGAGCAGCCCAAGGGAGTTCAACAGAGAAGAATCCTTTCTCAGAGTCCCTGTCTTCACTCCAGAAATACTGAGCACCGCTGATCTGTGACTTTCTGATTTGTGATGGCACTTCCTAACATTATCTTATGTCCCCAGCATGGAGCCAAAGGGTATTTTAACCTGTAATTTTCTGTCGGAGTAGCTCCAGTCCAGAGAGCGAACAATTAACTAATACCTGTGGTGCTGGGCAAAGTGGCTAATTTCTGCAAATTCTCCAGCAGAAGGCTCAAGTTGGGGAATGTCATCTTCACAGCCTGGAGGAGTTTCACCAAACTCTCAGCACTCAGGGTCTTCTCTTCAGTTATTCTGTGCAACAGATTTTCTATTGTCTCTTTGGGTGTTCTGCCCTCACAGCAATTCAGAATCACCTGCAGTGGCAAGCAATTGAGCAGACAGCAGTTACTGGCAATTCAAAATGTATCTGACACACCACTGGAAAACTCAACAAGATGGCAAGACAAGACACCCCGTATCCAAGTCCTCCCACGTTGGTTTCTAGCACGTCTTCTGTCATAGTCCCTTCCTTCCTATGTTTCAATAAAAATCCAAAATATTCTCCAAACAAGCAGCTTTATGAGAGTATTTTTCTCCATCCTAAGTTTGTATATATTTTTTGCCTTCACCAGCTCACATTTACTGAAATCAGTCTTACACTTGGACTGTACGATAGTTTCTTCAGACACTAAGACTAAGAAACAGACAGGCAATTAATAGTTATAATGTTTTATAATCTGTGTTCAGGAAGGTTTGGTACAGGTTGATGTTGGTACAGGCTGTAATTTTCAGAAAAATTCTGTTCTTTTACTTCCTCTCCACATTAATTTAAATACCCAGATAATTCATCCAGGGTCTCCCAAATAAGAAAAGCTTTTTTGGGTTCTCTTGTGAATCCTTTCGGTCCATTCCTTTCATTCTCAATAGCCACACGCATCAGTGCTACTCATAACCAGCAGTCCCACTCCCGTTCTTCCTCGCTGTGCCAACCGACTGAGTCAGACGACACAGGGCTCTCGCAAAGGCTGAGAGATAAACCATGTGACAGGTGTTTTCCTATAACAGAACCCTCTCCTAATGGACTACAATGCAATATGCATAACATGGTCTCACGGAACTGATAAAGCAGAGATTATTTTAATATATGTAATCCGTAGACTCACAGTAACTGAATTTTGAGTTTTCCTTTGGGAAAATATCAGCTCTCAGGAGAAACAATCAAGCAGATCAGTCATGGGCATATGCCAGAGGCTGCCATTATCAAATTAACTCCCATTTTAAAATAATGAACTCAGCTTTAAAACCAGATTGGCTTTATATATATTAAAAGGATATGTGTGTGTGTGTGTGTGTGTGTGTGTGTATAAAAAAATAAATCAAGTTGTCATTTTCCTTGTCAGTACAGAACAGTCATTCTCTTTAAGATCTAATATATAATAGAGTGCTACTAAGTGAATCATAATTTAAAATTTAAGAGCTTATATTTTGAAACCAAAATGACTTCACTCCTATATCTTAGTTGCTAAGCAATAATCTGATACAGAATGAGGAAGCCAGACATTGTTAAGAGTAGGAATGGGCTTTAAAACCAGACAGACTTCATCTGTACCCAGTCCTACTATTTATTTCTTGTGTGAGCCGTGGTAAGTCGTTTAACTCTTTGAACCTTATTTTCCTCATTTGTAAATGGAGATAACCATACTAACCCTAGAACAGAGCCACCTCTATAAAATGAAGTTGCTAGCCGGTTGTGGTCGCATACGGCTACAATCCCAGCATTCAGGAGGCCGAGGCAGGAGGATCATTGCAAGTTTAGGGAGCTATATAGTGAGACCCTGTCTCAATAAATCAAAAAAAGAAGTTGCTATTTGCAGAGCCTCACATAACTCCTAGGACATATGAGCTCTTTAAGAATGACGATGTTATTCCTATCACTGGGGAGCAATATGCACAGTGAAGAGAACGTGTTTCATCAGAAGCCTGGGTCGCAGTCCTGGCTCCAGCAGTGCCTTTGGGGGAGCTGCTTACCCTCTCTAAGCTTCTATTTCTTTACCTAAAATAAGGGTAATATACCTTACTTCGTCCAGCTGCTGGAAGGGTAAAATTCAATGGTATTTAAAATGTCTGCAGCACATTGCTTGGCACATAGAAGCAATAAACCAATGGTAGTGATAGTAATTATTACTTTTATGCCCTGAAAGCATTCCTGTTGACCACTTCTTACAGAAAGAGTTGAAGCATTTACAGATAATAAGGCTGAGATCCCCATGATAGGAATAAATGCATTAAAAATAAAGTTCTGAAAAGCCCAGTGCACATTCCACATGAGGTCAAGGCTCCGTGGCTCCTCGATCAACATTCACCTCTACACTCCCATCACATTAGCTTGCTTCCATTTTCATGAGAAGGAACAGCTTAATGTTGCTCTGGTGGAATCCCAATCTTAAGGAGCATTTTTGTGCTTTATAACTAATTTAAGTTCTTCTGCTTCAGCTTTTACTATCAAGTAAACTGAAAGTGACAGAAGAAAATGACAGTCTTGCTGCAGAGAATAAGGCTGAACTTGGCTCTATCTCTAAGTGCTACTTTACCAAGATAATGAAACAGCTCAAAGGACACGTTCAATCTAGCTAATAAGGAGAAGGTTTGGATGAGTAATAGAACGAAATCACTGAACAGGGAATCAGGTACTTTTAGCACTATATGTAACTCACTTAAAATGCCTGAAATCACACTTAATCGGGACTCTTAGGAGAAAAATAGTTGTTCACTCTTTTTTGGTATATTTTCTTTTTCTAAGAAGTTCAAGAAACTTAAAAAAATTAAAATCGAAGGTTGTTCTCACTTATCTATTTTTAATAAAAGACTAGTCCTCACCATGAATCCAGTGCTCAGCTACTATACCCGTGTTTTTTAGACATTCCCTCTCCTCAACATTTAAGTCACTTCCCACAGCTTCGAGATCCGACACTACCAAAGTTCTCTATTCCTATTCCTTCCTTACAGATATAAAAATATTTTTAGCACAAAGTTGAAATCAATAACACCAACAAATATAGTTATCTAGCTGCCTTGAGAAGTCATGCTAGCAGCTTTATGAGGATTTCAGTGGCAAGCTGGTGGGGGAGTAAATTGGTACAACCTTCCTGAAGGGCAATTGGCGATGTGTGTCATACACATGAACATTTTTGTACTCTCCATTCCAAAATTCTACTTCTTAAAAATTATTCTAAGGGAAAAAAATGATTCTAAGGAAAGAATTTGGGAATTAGGCAAAGCTTTGCCTATAAGAATGTCCTCTTAAGTATTATTTCTAATAGCCAAAAACTAGGAATGGGGGATGCTCCACAATAAAGAATTAATGAATGGTACACCCATTAGAATATAATACAGCTACCAAAATCCATATTCTAGGTACTGAAATGTACTGACATATTAAATGTAAAAACCAAGTTAGAAAACTATGTTCTGTGTAACTTCACCCCAGGATGACTCAAACGAAGAGTAGGAAGAACACGCTCTAAAGTGTTAGAGGGAATCATGTCTGAGTGGTGAGATCTGATTTCTTTTTCCTTTCTGCTTGTTTTTCATATGTTCTCATTTTAACCATTTATCATGTCTACAAAGAGGAAAACTGTCATAATAATTACAAATGTGCCTAAACATTTTAATTCTTGGCACATGTTTATGATAAAAATTCATTAGGTCAGACCAGGAATATCATATACCCATCCACCTATCCTTCCAAACACTGACTCCACAGGGTGCTGCCTACAATGTGCACAGCCCTCAGAACACTACAGTACAAAATGCAAAGGGGCAGGAAACAAGAATCTGAACTTGGGAGTGATTACTATGCAGTAGGTATAAAAATCCTGTAAGCCAAGAAGTGCTCTGTGCCAGAGAAGAGGTTTTTCTAAAAAAAGTGCTACATCAATTCTGAGCAGGGAGGAGATACTTGACACAGTTACCCTTTTCTCAGTGCCAGGCAGGAATTCCTCCTTGGCTGTTTCCAGGAACTCCGTAATAGGTCTCAGCTGTGTTACACACTGTATCAGGTCCTCTTTGTGTTCCAGTAACAGAACAGACAAGGTCTTTCCCTCCCCTGTGCTCCCTGGGGGAGAAAGAATTAGAGACACACAAGAAAAGCTAGTCAATTTGAAGAAAATGACAGCATGGTTTGTCAAGAGAGATCTAACAGAATAGTAAAGTGATTCTCAGCTTATTCTGTGCACCTGAATGCAGAATCACTTTTAGAGAGGAAAATACTTTATTATTCTGTTTAAACTCTATGAAAGGAAAAATGTTTCATTTATCTGTCGAAACACAAAGCTTCAGAGCCAGCCAGAGGTTAACTTCTGGTTGGCAAGGCCAATGCTTTGTACCTAACCCAAATGAGAGCAACTCCAGCCTCTAAGTGCTGTCAGCGAACCAGCTCACCCTGGGCACCCAAGGCACTGCTTTGGATATGTGGCTTTTTGAAAGGCAGGGGGACATTGATGGTATTCTCCAATTCAAGGTATCAGGCTAGTTAAGTAGGGGACAGAAATGGAAACTTTTGTTTAGCTTGTATATATTTAGTACACAGCTCTGGAATGACATGAGAACCTATGTGGAAATCATTTAATAACTAAGCCTCTGAAGATATGTATCACTGAAATGAACCAACTTTGCAGGGGTCGGGGGAGCGGTATTGGGGATGGAACCCAGGGACTCGTGTGTGCTAGGTAAACACTTTACTACTGAGCTACATCCCCAGCTCCCACTAAAACCAACCTTAAATCTTGGTCACTTGGGAGGACAGGACTCCCTCCTACCTTTTGGATGCACTGGGGCTGCATCTTCCAGGTGTGGGTCTGACAGTGCAGTTTTTATTGTGGGATTGGAATCCTGGTACAGTCTCAACAGGGACACAACAGTCTGCACATCTAGGCTCCCGGCTCTTATTTTCTCCAGGATTCTCTGGAATGCTGTATCACCTCCTTTACCCTCAAGACATTCCATTACAATCTGTGGAATGAAGTATCCAGAAAGACAGATGAGCCAGCCACAAGAACCACACCTGGCAAACAAAGCACCCACAGCTGATCCCTCACCCACTGTACCTGCTTCCCCAACAGGGGCTGCAGCAAACCTTGTGCCATGGGCTCCCAGCCCATCCTCAGGAGGACTCCGATTCCAGGCTCTGACCTCACTCAGGGCATAACCTGCTGGGAGGCCTTCCCCAGACCAGCCCCACCTTCTCTTAATCCAGGTCATTTTACCTTTGTCACACTGTATTGCAAGCATTTATCTTTTTCTCCTAATAGACTTCTTGAAGCCAGGGATCATAATTTCTAAGGCACTGCATTCTCAGCAATCAGCAGAACCTGGCACACAGTAGGTGTTCAGTGCATTTTTAATATACTTAATGCACTTCTTACCTAATTATACCTTTCTGAATCTTATGACATTTGGAGTATTTCTTAGGCAAGGATATCTGAATTTCAAATTGAATGAACTGTCATTTTATTATTTGAGAATGCAATTAAAGTCTCACAAGTTAGGGGAGAAAAATCACTTTAAGTCATTTACATTATGAATGATAGACTATTTAGAAAGACATGAGCCTTATTACTTTTAGATATATTCTGTAACAATTAAGGCTAACAATGTGTTGGCTTGGAGTTGCCAGCTGTCAAAGAACATGTGATTCACATATTAATTATCCCATTTTAATGACTGCTTCACTGCTGTCGGCTTGAAGGGGCTGCAGGGGCTTCAGAGTTTCCTCCCCTAACCAACGCTGAATACACACCAGCCTCTCCTCTGGCCCGGTGCCCTTGACCTCTTTGTGGCACTACTACGGCCTCTGAGTCACAGTTCTCGGTTCTCATCGGACTGTGGCAACACTGATGTACTGTGGCTGAAATTCTGACCACCCTCTTCACCTTCCCCATTGCTCTTCTCCCAAAGCCATAACCATAAGCAAGATCTGACTGGTCTTAACCCTTCATTTTTTTTTTTTTTTTTTTTTTTGGTTTTTCTCTGGTACCGGGAACCGAACTCACGACCTTGCACTTGCCAGGCAAGCGCTTTGCTGCTGAGCTAAATCCCCAGCCCCAACCCTTCATTTTTATCTCCTTTTTGAGAAGGTTTCAGCCAAGCTGGTGGTGCACAACTGTGACGCTGAGGCAGGAGGAACACCACAAGTCCAAGTCCAGCGTGGGCAACTTAGTGAGATCTTGTCTCAAAATTAAAAAAGAAAAAGAAAAATTTAAAGGCCAGGGATGTAGTTCAGTGTGAAGGTTCTGAGTTCAATCCCTGGTTCTGCTTTTAAAAAGGGCAAGAAAAGCTCTCAATTACTCAGCTTTATCACATTTTGCAGATGGCTCTGAAAATGGGCTCTAATCCCGAGCTCTGTTTCAATCTAGAGCCACATAACCTTCTGCTGAGCATGTCTCAAACAGCAGCGTTTTCAGGCTACAACTATGCTCACCATCTTGAATCCTCCAGAGTACAATATCTACCATTTGAGTGGTAAAATGTAAAAACTGAGCATTCTTTTCTTTGGTCTGACAGAACATCTCTTTTACAAACAAAAGCAAACCCAATCAGAAGACAGGGTTAATATTTTTGTTTTAGCAATAATTTGAAAAAAAAAAACATGTACCCAAAATGAAAGTTTATGTGATAGTCATACACTAACCTTTTAAAAAAGTTTCCTATGTGTTTTGGTCATCTTCAAAAGTAAATTTAGATAAAACACAGTTTAATTATCCACATTAATATTTGATTGGAGTAAATAACTGCCATGAGCCTAAGGTAACTCATCTTCTATTTTTAAAATAACAAACAAGAAATACAGGCATGAGTTGAATGGTTAATCCCTGTGGGTAAATGATTTCAACTTTTCCTGCTGTCATGAGTCGGCCCCAAATCTCCTTAGAATGCCCTTCAGGACAGCAGTAGGGACCCTGAAGCAGGCAGCCTACAAACAGCTCTGGGGGAGCCCTGCCTCTAGATAGTCACGCCTGTGAGCTGAACTCCAGGCTCGGTTCTAAGGAAGGGAATATGACAAAAGTAATGGGTGGACAGTCATGGCCGCTGCACCCACTGCCACTGGTGCTGGGAGCCCATGTCCCCAGACAAGTTGCTCCCAAAAGGTGATGCTGAGAAGACTGAAGAGGAGCTGGAAGAGGACGACAATGCTGAGCTAGACGAGACCCTGTCTGAGAGGCTCTGGGGTCTGACGGAGATGTTCCCCGAGAGGGTCCGGTCCTCGGCCGGAGCCACTTTTGATCTCTTTGTGGCTCAAAAAATGTACAGGTTTTCCAGGGCAGCCTTGTGGATCGGGACCACTTCCTTTATGATCCTGGTTCTTCCTGTTGTCTTTGAGACTGAGAAGTTACAAATGGAGCAGCAGCAGCAGCGGCAGATACTTCTAGGGCCTAACGCAGGGATCTCAGGAGGAATGCCAGGGGCTCTATCTTCGCTTCCTGGAAAGATCTAGATTATTAACTGATAACGTTTGAGCTGTCTTGGTGAGAGAAGTTCAAACTCAGTTGTGTTTGAATTGCTGATTGTTTGTAATTTTTTAAAAAAACTTTGGCACATTAATCTAAACTTGGGAGAATTCTCCCTTTGTTGTTTCATGGAGAATCCCAACCAGCAGCTGTGCCCTCCACGCTGCCCTCACTGTCCTGTCCTCGCTGACACCAGAGTGCCACTATGCGGACGGTTACTTCACCTCTGGCCACCCAACCCCTTTTGGTCAGCTGCTCCTAACTATCCCGTGATGGGGTAGAAACTGACACCAGTGGAAGGGATGGACCCCTGACCATTAATGACTGGTTTTGGTTTTTTACTTTTTTCTTTTCAAGAACGGCCATGTTGGGGAGGGATAAGCACACAGTATCAAGCCGGCACAGTAAAGTACAGCTGTGGTGTAAACCACTGGGAACCCCTGCATGTGTCGGAGGAGGCGGCTTGTTGCAGCTTCAGCCACAAGATGAGGATGATGGGGGCCGTGGGGGACAGAGCAGGGGCTCATTTCCTCTGCACATTTTGGCTATCAGACCTGTGTGCAAAAAAGGTCAGTGCTCACTTTTTGTATTTAAAATTAAAAATTATTTCAACTCAGAAAAAAAAAGTAATGGGATGATGCCCCTTCGGAGGTCAGGTTACTATGAGTTGTGCCTTTTATATGCACACATGCATGTGCGCATGCACCCACTGGCACGCCATCTCCCTCTCTCTCTGCCCTTCCTCTGGGAGATGCAAGCTGCCACACTGTGAGTTGCCCTAAGGAAAGGCCCTTGTGGCAAGGAAAGAATGTCTCTAGGCCACAGTCAGTAAGTCTGGAAGTGGATCTTCTGAGGCCTGTCAACAGTCGAGGGAGTCAGCTAAGAAAAAGGTATCACCCTCACTGGGCCTGGAAATGACTGCAGCCTTAGCTGACATAATTGCAGCCCAAGGACACAGCCATGCTACTTCTGGGTTCTTAATCTACAGAATCCCAAGTAATAAAAGCACTGAAGCTGCTGAATTTTAGAGTAATTTGTTACACAGCAATCGATAACCCATACCGCCCCATTTGTGGCTAATGTTCTCAGGAAACGTTTCCTCCTCTTCACTTTCCCTTTCTTTCCTTTATTTTGTATGTCTTAATTGATACAGCACATAGCTATCACGTTCTGTCCTAGACCACGTTTTATTTCTTTTTCCACCTACAGCTCTCTGAATATCCCAGATCCACCACTCTCGGTATCCAGTGTGTCTGGCACTGCTGCTAGAGCTGGGCGGAGGGGGAGAGAAACGTTCATCAGAGGCGGCATCTGATGTGCTTCTCATTATCCTCTCTGCTGTCTCTCCCTCTGCAGAACTACTCAGCAGTGAAATTAAAACATTTGTTAACTCCACTGCTCAGCAGTGAAGCTAGGGTGACCATCTGGGAAGAGAAGTAGGGGTGGGCTGATAAAAGAAAGGGCCAGGAGGGAGCAGAGAGCTGCTTGGACAGCCCAGCTCTTTCTTCTAGAACCTACTGGGGACCCATGCCAGGTTTTGCTTTTACTATGGTAAGCCCATTTCTGAAACAGCGTCTGCCTACACACAGGGGTGTCACATATTTTGATAGGCTGTTACCATGTAACAGAGCTGAACCAAAACAGTTCTGTCAAAAGGTCCTTAACCTTACATTTGGAACTCCTTTGATTCCTAGGGGGCTATGGGTACTTCAGTAGATTCATGTCAACACGTGGTCATAAAAGTAATCAAAGTACTTTATCTATGAGTGAAATATTGGTAAATATATTTAAAGATGAGACAGCTTCCTTTCCATTGATGATGTGGGAAAAACCATTTAATCTTTCTCCTAACTCAAGTCTTTTAACTGAACTTACCTTCCCCAACTGTTTGTCTACTACCTTCACATCTATTTGGGTTATACTATACTCCCATGAATGCTGAGGGCCAGGTGATGGCAATAATGATACAGGTAGAGCTGGGAATGGCTGAATGGTAAAACACCTGCTTAGAAGACACAGAGTCTTGGGTTCAAACCCCAGTACCAAAAATAAATAGATAAATAGAAATTAAAAGTAACGATATAACGCCTATCAATCAGCACCACCCTGCGCACTGTGGACTGCGTGCCTCCCCAGGCCAGTCCTCGGCAGCATCACTACCGCTTACTTTACATGAGCACAGAGCGGTTAAGTAACTTGCCTAAAGTCACGGGGACAAATGCTCTCGAAGAAATACTGCGTTCGTGCTACACTTCTTCCACTCAGTTCTAACACCTCGGGTTTCAAGGGTAAATCAAATCCATTCATACTGGATTCCGCTGGACTTATTGGAATCTATATCACTGAACAGAGGGCGGTATGTAAGACAATCTGTACCATTCTTCTTGGTCTCAATGATTAGTACTGAGACTGTACCTAGGAGGTGTTCAATAAATGTTTAACTGAATAAAATTCTAAGCCTCTTGAGTCACTGCTTGCTGCCTCTCCTGTTAAGGGGTTACAACT